GATGAGTTGCATCCCAAGAAAAGTAGGGAAACATCCCTACTGTGAAGCATGGGGGTGGTAACATCATGTTTTGGGGGTGCTTTTCTGCAAAGGGGACAGGACGACTGCACTGTATTAAAAAAGAGGACGAATGGGGCCATTTATTGTGAGATTTTGAGCAACAACCTCCTTCCCTCAGACAGAGCATTGAAGATGGGTCGTGGCTGGGTCTTCCAACATGACAACGACCTGAAGCACACAGCCAGGATAACCAAGGAGTGGTTCCATAAGAAGCATATCAAGGTTCTGGAGTGGCCTAGCCAGTCTCCAGACCTAAATCCAATAGAACATCTTTGGAGGGAGATGAAACTCTGTGTTGCTCAGCGACAGCCCCGAAACCTGACAGATCTAGAGGAGATCTGTGTGGAGGAGTGGGCCAAAATCCCTGTTGCAGTGCAAACCTGGTCAGGAACTACAGGAAACGTTTGACCTCTGTAATTGCAAACAAAGGCTTCTGTACCAAATATTAACACTGATTTTCTCAGGTGTTCAAATACTTATGTTCAGCAGTGCAAGACAAATACATTCTTTACAAATCATACAATGGGATTTCCTGAATTAAATTTTTTTAATTCTGTCTCTCAGAGTGGGAATGCAACTTCTGTTCCTCACTGTATAAACATGGTTCCAGCATACTCCTGCGTGCAGGCAACTCATCATATAAAGTGAATGCATATACATCAGCTGTGTCTAGATTGTCCCCAAGCTATCAACTCAAGCCAAATCCTACCTATAACACATAACTTTTGAGTGGACATCCCCTTTAAATAAAGCTCAATATTTCAGTTCATGACAAATTCCAGCTATGCCATCTCTTTGGATTATTCTCTTTGAATGAAGCTCATTATGTCATCTCAAGCCATGCTTCACCTATAACATATCTCCTTTGAGTTGACTGACTCTTCAAATGCTTTTTATCAATAAACTGTTAACAAAAATTACAATTAAAAGTGTAGATAAACTGGGGGGGGGGGGGTCTGTAATACAGAGAGATAGTTGGAAACAATAATTGATATGAGTGCATCGTGCAGCAGAGGCAAAAAGCACAGGAAGTTGCTAGCTCACAAGATTTATGGCAGGTACAACGGGTACAGTATATATTTTGCACTTATCGAGCAGACATAACAAAACCCTTTCAATGGTATACATTTATAGACCCATACAGAGCAAATAAGAGAAGTCTATTGTTAGGACTTACATACACTTTAATAGAATCAGAAAACTGGATCTAACAAACAGAAAAGAGGAACATCTTGGAATCTAATGCACACATACCAGAGGCACATCCTAAAAAAAACTAACACACTTAAAGCAGAGGGACTTTTTAGAATCTAACACATGAATCAGAGGGACTTCGTGGAATCTAATACACATGTTCAAGGGGACATCATGGAATCAACTGCATATGAACTGAAGGGACTCCATGGAATCTAACACACATGAACTAGGGGGATGTCATGGAATCTAACACACATCAACCAAGGAGACATCACTGAATCTAACACATGAACCAGGGAAACATTATCTATATGGACCAGAGGTACATCATGGAATCTAACACACAAGAACTAGAGGGACACTTTGGAATCTAACACATGAGTCAAAGGGACATCATAGAATCTAACACACATGAACCAGAGTAACATCATGGAATCCAACACACATGAATCAAAAGGACATCCTGAAATCTAATACACATGAACCACAGGGACTTCATGGAAGCTAAAACACAATCTAAGGGACATCATGGAATCTAGCACACATGAATTACAGGGTCGTCATGGAATCTAACACACATGAGCCAAAGGGACATTATAGACTCTAACACACATGAGCAAGTGTGGCAACATGGAATCTAAAAACACATGAACCAAAAAGGGACAAAATTAAATCTAAAACACATGAGCCATATGGACATCATGCAACCTAACACAGATCCACCAAGGAGGAATCACTGAATCTAACACACATGAGCCAGAGGGAAATCATGAAATCTATATGAACCAGAAGGATATCATTGAATATAACACACATGAGCCAGAGGGACATCATGGAATCCAACACACATCAACAAGAGGGATATCATGGAATCTAATGTACAAAAACCAGAAAAAGGACAACATGGAATCCAACAGACATGAACCAGAAGGACATCGTAGAAACAAACACACGTGGATCAGAGAGACATCATGGAATTTAATGCATCTGAACCAGAAGGATAGTTTGGAATTCAACACACATGAATCAGGGAGAGATCATGGAATCTAAAACACATGAACCATAGAGACACCATGGAATCTAATGTACGTGAACCAGAAGGACATCATGGAATCCAGCACATATAAACCAGAATGACATGACGGAATGTAACACACGTGGACCACAGGAACATAATGGAATCTACATGAACCAGAAGAACATCATTGAATCTAATACATATGAGCCAGAGGGGCATCATGGAATCCAACAGACATGAACCAGAAGGACATCATTGAATCTAATACAAATGAGCCAGAGGGGCATCATGGAATCCAACAGACATGAACCAGAAGGACATCATAGAATCTAGCACACATGAACCATAGGGACATCATGGAATCTAACGTACATGAGCCAAAAGTACAGGTTGGAATCCAGCACACATGAATCAGGGATAAATCATGGAATTTAAAACACATGAACCATAGGGACATCATGGAAGCTAACGTATGTGAGCCAGAAGTACAAGATGGAATCCAGCACATACAATATAAACCAGAATGACATAACGGAATGTAACAAACATGGACCACAAGGACATTATGGAATTTACATGAACCAGAGGGCCATCATGAAATCTGCATGAACCAGAAGGACATCATTGAATCTGATACAAAATGAGCCAGAGGGGCATCATGGAATCCAACGCATATCGACAAGAGGGATATCAAAGAATCTAATGTACATCAACCAGAAGGACATCATGGAATCCAACACACATCAACAAGAGGGATATCAAAGAATCTAATGTACATCAACCAGAAGGACATCATTGAATCCAACAGACATGAACCAGAAGGACATTGTAGAATCTAACACACATGGATCAGAGGGACATCATGGAATCTAATGCACCTGAACCAGAAGGACAATATGGAATCCAGCACACATGAATCAGGGAGAGATCATGGAATCTAGCACACATGAACCATAGGGACATCATGGAATCTGCATGAACCAGAAGGACATCATTGAATCTGATACAAAATGAACCAGAGGGGCATCATGGAATCCAACACACATCGACGAGGGATATCATAAAATCTAATGTACATGGACCAAAAGGGCATTGTGGAATCCAACACACATCAACAAGAGGGATATCATAGAATCTAACGTACAGTCAGGTCCATAAATATTGGGACATCTACACAATTCTAAAATGTTTGGCTCTATACACCACCACAATGGATTTGAAATGAAACAAACAAGATGAATTCTGAAGTGTTTCGGGCAATATTATCTGCTCATATTCAGCCAAATGCTTCAGAATTCATTGGACGCCGCTTCACAGTGCAGATGGACAATGACCCAAAGCATACTGCAAAAGCAACCAAAGAGATTTTTAAAGGGAAAGAAGTGGAATGTGAGGGTATTTACATCCTGATTTGGATGTAAATACCCTCAAATTAAAGCTGACGGTCTGCAGTTAAAGCACATCTTGTTTGTTTCATTTCAAATCCTTTGTGGTGGTGTATAGAGCCAAAAAATTTTAGAATTGTGTTGATGTCCCAATATTTATGGACCTGACTGTACATGAACCAGAAGGACATCATGGAATCCAACACACATCAACAAGAGGGATATCAAAGAATCTAATGTACATGAACCAGAAGGACATCATTGAATCCAATAGACATGAACCAGAAGGACATTGTAGAATCTAACACACATGGATCAGAGGGACATCATGGAATCTAATGCACCTGAACCAGAAGGACATTATGGAATCCAGCACACATGAATCAGGGAGAGATCATGGAATTTAGCACACATGAACCATAGGGACATCATGGAATCTGCATGAACCAGAAGGACATCATTGAATCCAATAGACATGAAACAGAAGGACATTGTAGAATCTAACACACATGGACCACAGGGACATCATGGAATCTAATGCACCTGAACCAGAAGGACATTATGGAATCCAGCACACATGAATCAGGGAGAGATCATGGAATTTAGCACACATGAACCATAGGGACATCATGGAATCTATCGTAGGTGAGCCAGAAGCACACGACGGAATCTAGCAAACATGAACCATAGGGACATCATGAAATCTAACACATATAACACACATGGACCACAAGGACAGCATGTAAATTACATGAATCAGAGGGCCATCATGAAATGTACATAAACCAGAAGAAAATCCTGAAATTTTACAGGCATGAACCAGAGGGAATCATCATAGAATCCATCACACATGAGTAAGGGGAATATCATGGTGTATTTGGTCAGCAACAAAAACCCAGGACATTTCAAGGACAGCAAATTCCAAAAACAAAGGCAGGAACTTCCCTACAGCTAATCACAGTTTCATATGAGTCCAGGAAAGGGACTGTCCCTCTAAATGAGAAACATTTGTCAGAATGATGGGACTACCACCTCTAGCAGGCACCATAGGGCACGCTGAGACCTGTAGTTCCATCCTTTAGGATGACAAGGGCAGTCCAAGCCCAGGAGAGCCTGCAGAAGCATTAGACAGGTAATTAGTGTGTGTGGCTGCAGTGACAGTGGCGTTGGAGGGGAGCAGCGCTCCTTGATGCGATCAGATTAGCCCAGATTATGCAGATGACTTTAAAAAAGCGCTAAGTGTCTATTGTCGGACTGGCTTTGGACGGAGAGCCTGTGGCAGAGGAAGCGGCTACTTCAGGGACTTCGGATCAGGGACCCCTGAAACACAAGTAAGTTGTATGTGTCGGCAGACGTGTCCTCAACGCCCTCCCAGCGCTATGACCAGCGACAGAAAGGCTTCATGCACGTATATTGTCCCCTTTTTTCCCCACCAGAAAATGCCGGTCATCAATATAGAAGATCTGACGGAGAAAGATAAATTAAAGATGGAAGTGGAGCAGCTGAAGAAGGAGGTGAAGCTGGAGAGGCAGCTGGTGAGTGCCGGGGCTGCAAACTTCTTCAAGCACTTCTCCTTTCTGGGCAAAGTTTAGGAAAGCTTTGATTTGGCTTTTGTTTTGTTTGTTTTTGTTTGCTTTTTTATTTATTGTTACTTTAGTTAACAATATTTGTTACTTCATTCATACAAAAAAGTGTTGCCATTTTTTAACCCAAAAGTTTGTGCAAACTTTTTCTCTTTAATTCAAAAATTAGGACGGTCTGCATTTTTTCCTTAGCAGAAGGAAGCTTTTTTTTGTTTAGCTATAAACTTTTTGCTAAATTGGCATTTTTTGCCTACACAGAGCAAAGCTTGTGATGGACATTGATCCTTTTTTTGTTTTCTTTAGGCGCCTGTGCAAATTTTTCAAAGGTTAACTTGGAAAGTTTCTGCAAACCTTTGATCCAAAAATATTAGGATTGTCTGCATTTTGTTTTCTTTAGCAGAAAGAAGCTTATTTTTTTTTTTTTTTTTTACTGTGATGTTTTTGCTATGTGGGCATTTTTTTCTATGCAGAGCAAAACTTGTGATACACATTGATCCCTTTTTGTTTTTTTTGGTGTGTTTTATTTTTTTTTAGGAGGTGCTTGCAAATTTTTATGTGCAAACCTTTGATCTAAAAAACATCAGGACTGTCTGCATTTTTTTTTTTTAACAAACTTTTTTTTTTGTTTTAGCTGTAATGTTTTTGCTATGTAGGCAGGGGTAGACTGACCATTTGGAAACTCGGGCACTGCCCGAGGGCCCGGGGTCAGTAGGGGGCCCCATGAGATGCCCCTGGTACCTTTTTCATAGGCTTTTTTGAGTTTGGGCAAGGACACAGGGGCCCCATGATCCCCTATTGCCCATGGGCCCCATGAGTTGTCAGTCCGCCCCTGCATGTAGGTATTTTTCTCTATGCACAGCAAAGCTTGTGATACACTGTGATCCTTTTTGTTGTTTTTTTTTGATTTGTTTTTTAGGAGGTGCTTCTGCAAATTTTGGAAATATTAACTTGAAAAGTTTGTGCAAACCTTTGATCCAAAAGTGTTAGGACAGTCTTCATTTTTTTTTCCTTTGCAGAGGTAACACTTTACAGGTACTTATATAGCGCTGTCAATTTTTACGCAGTGCTTTACATATATATTGTACATTCATATCAGTCCCTAACCCTCAAGAGGCGTACAATCTAAGGTCCCTAACTTACATTCATACACTAGGGCCAATTAGGCAGGATCCAATTAACCTACCAGCCAGGGGCGGACTGACAACTCATGGGGCCCCCCGGGCAATAGGGGATCATGGGGCCCCTGTGTCCTTGCACAAACTCAAAAAAGCCTATGAAAAAGGTACCAGGGGCATCTCATGGGGCCCCCTACTGAGGAGGCCCTCGGGCAGTGCCCGAGTTTCCAAATGGTCAGTCCGCCCCTGCTACCAGCATGTCTTTGGAGTGTGGGAGGAAACCAGAGTACCTGGAGAAAACTCACACAGTCACAGGGACAACATGCAAACTTAAAGCAGGTGGTGCCTTAGTTGGGATTTGAACCAATGACCCTTTTACTGCCAGGTGGATGTGCTAACCAGCACTGAGCTGTTGCGAGGTTTTCTTTTCTTTTCCTTTATTTTGCAAATCACCATATTTTAACTATTAAATTTTAGTTTGCCATCCTTTTGGATTGATATTTTTCTTTAAGAACATTTGGCTCCAAAAGTGCGTGCAGATCTATTTTCTGCACATCGACTACCTGCAGAGATTGCTGCAAACTTTGCATTCATATTTTTTTTTTCTTTTTGCAATATTACTGATTTTAGTTTGCCATTTTTTTTGTATGCTTGTGGATGTTGATGTTTTTCAATTTTATTTTCTGAAGGCGCTTGCAAACATTTTGCTCAGAAAGTTTTCTGTGTACATTTTTTTTTTTTTTTACACTTTTTTATCAGGCCAAGCTGTTGAAAATATGATAGCAGCTCTTAACCCTTTGAGGACCATAAGATTTTGGAACGCCAAAAGAATGAATTTGTTTTGTTTTTAAAGTTAGTACACTTCAGTTGCTGTAACTAAGCCATTCCATGAAATAATTGGCAAAAAGCTAGATCCATTTGTTGTTTGTTGATAAGAACTAATATTTTGACTCAAACCAAAAAAAAAAAAAAAAAAAAGTTTTAAAGTTCTTAATCAGATGATACACGCAATTAAAAACATGGGACAAATACGTCCCTTGGTCCTCAAAGGGTTTTAACCTTGAAAAGCCAACACTGCTGCTCTGCACCTGCATTCATTACACACAGTTTCAGGGTGGTTGTGGTGTTGCCCCATTCACTTAAGATTACCCCATCCACAGGGTGACAACACTGCTGTGCAATTACTTCAGAACAAACAGTGTTGTCACTCTATTACAGGATATAAGAAAATAACAAACCTACTGGCAGGATCAACATGTAATAAATCTGTGGTTTTGCCCATAGTGACACCTTCAATAAGCACTGGAATGCTTAGTGTGTTGCTTCCATCCCTCCCAAGGAATAATACCTCACCTTTTGGGTATAATGAGTCTTTTCAGTTGGGGTCTTCCAGGACCTTGCATGGGAAACATTTACATAGATTGTATGAACTAGAGCCTAGGTTTTTTTGGTAATGCTGATGACTAAATTTCCTGTACCCCCCCCCCCCATAACATTTTGGTACCTGTTGATCCTGCTAGAAGATTTGTTGAATTTCCACTTCTGGTAACAAGGTGACATCACTAATCCTTCTGCAGTGAAATCACTATGGTGTTGTCACCCTATTGACATAGTAAAAAAAAAAAGTTATAATCCTACACCCACAGTTGATCCAGAGGAAGGTAAAAAAAAAACCCAGCAAAGCACAATCCAATTTGCTCCTGCAGGGAAAAAAAATCCTTCCTAATCCCCCAAGAGGCAATCGGATATTCCTTGGGTCAACTTTACCTATAAATGTTATATCCAGTTATATTCTGTGTATCCAAGAAAGAATCCAGGACTTTTCAAAAGCAATCTACTGAGCTGGCCAGAACCAACTCTTGAGGGAGTCTCTTCCACATTTTCACAGCTCTTATTGTGAAGAAACCTTTCCTTGGAGATTAAATCTCTTTTCCTCCAGAAGTAGAGCGTGCCTCCTTGTCCTCTGTGATGACCTCAGGGTGAATAACTCAGGTTAAACAAAGTAGTCTGTGGTGGACCTTGTGTAAAAAAAAAACAAATTAAAGCCCAACTCCAGGTAATACCATTTAAATACACTTACAACAGCACTTTTCCTTTGTATTAAGAACTAGCATTATTGATGGACAGCTTGGCCAGCAGGTAAAGGTGGCAAAATATATGGATACATTCCAGCACCTACTTTTTTTGGCTGCACTCTGCGACGAGGAGCCTCACTGGGCGGAGGGATGGATGCACTGACTCTCCAAATTACCCAGCATGGTCGGACTTAGAACATTAGAGCATCAAGGGGTTCTGGACTCCCAGGTCACCAATTAGGATATTTAATGGGTGGTGGGATAATAAAGTAAATAATGAATGAGTATAAATTTTTTCATGTGACCATATAAAATGCAATTGGTGGCTCTGGGCAACATTTCCACTTTGCTTTGCTGCAATTCAGTACCTGTGTGTATCTGAGCTACATTTTTTCTGGGGGGGGGGTCGCAGGTGAGCAAGAGAAGTAAAGCGGGACTGGAACATTTGACCCTTCTCTAATGTTTCTTACTAAAGAAAGCAGAACGCCAGAAAAGTCTGGTGCCACGTTAAATAATTTTCTGCAACATCCGGGAACAAGGCAGTACCAACCCCCTTGACTTCATAATGCCCCATGAAGGTTTCCCCATTGGGCTAGAATTGGGGCTCATCCTCAGCTGTGGGGGCTCCATTCCTTAACTGTATTGCACATTAACAAACACGCCATTCAACTCTCCCCACAACACTGCATTGTGATGCGCTGTCACATGTTGGAACATGTTAGGAGTTGCATAAAAGCACACATGCAGCATTTACTATATGCAAGACGCCTGAATGTGTGAACAGAGCACATTATTATTATACAGTATTTATAAAGCGCCAATAGTTCGCTCAGCGCTGTACATTACAAAGGGGGACAGAACATGTGACAGAACAATACCAATACAATGCAAAACATGAGGGGATCGAGGGCCCTGCTCTTTCGAGCTTACAATCTAGGAGGGAGGGGATGGTGGTCCTGTACCACCATCCCCTCCCTCCTAGATTGTAAGCTCGAAAGAGCAGGAGATAGCTGTGGGGGACGGAGTGGTAGGAACAGTGGAGGAGGTCGGCAAGTTAGCAGGGGGTGGGGTAGGCTTCCCTGAAGAGATGGGTTTTCAGGGTACTCCTAAAGGAGAGGAGAGTAGGTGATAATCTGATGGGTTGGGGCAGGGAGTTCCAGAGGATGGATGACACCCTGGAGAAGTCCTGGAGGCGGGCATGGGAGGAGGAGACCAGGGAACTAGAGAGAAGGAGGTCTTGTGAGGAGCGGAGTGTGCGTGTTGGGTGGTACTTGGATATTAGGTCAGTGATGTAGTTCGGGGCAGTATGGTGGACAGCTTTGTACGTCAGTGTTAGGATTTTGAATTTGATCCGTTGCGCAATCGGAAGCCAGTGGAGGGATTGGCAGAGGGGGGTGGCGGAAACGGAGCGGTTGGAAAGGTGAATGAGTCTGGCAGCCGTATTCAGGATCGACTGAAGCGGGGATAGCCAGCGGCGAGGCAGGCCAGTGAGGAGGGAGTTGCAGTAGTCGAGTCGTGATATGATGAGGGAGTGGATGAGCTGTTTAGTGGTTTCTGGGGTTAGGAAAGTGCGGATTTTGGCGATTTTTGCGGAGGTGGAGTCTGCACGAGTTTGTTAGTGATTGGACTTGGGACTGGAAGGATAGGTTGGAGTCCAGAATGACACCAAGTACTCTGGCCTGAGGGGCGGGTTTGATGGCGGCATTGTTGGACGTGATAGAAAGCAATTGTTTTCAGTGTGTCCTTGCCCTGAGCCTGCAAT